CTATTATTATACGTACTATTATTATTATAAATATTCGTAGGTATATGGCTTAATTTCTATGACTCACTGCGATCCAAGTATCACACACAGGACGGCTAATCGCCAACACACTCCATCCTACAGCGGACATTGTAGAAACCCTAACCCATTGTAACAACAATGGTGAACACCCTATGCCAGTTGAATGCACTTCGATGACCACGTGCACGGCAGCACTGTCATTACATACTACGCCAAAGCAGAGAACGAAGGGCTGTATTCAACCACATGCTCAACAAAAAGGCTTATACATCTGTCCATGCGCATGAACACGCGTGTTCACACAAAGCAACTTACACCTTATTGTACAAGGTAAGCAACATACACATCACTAACCTGAACCAGTATGAGTCATACATACCCCCAGCCAGTCATCCAAACTCGGGTAGACCTGCCCCACTACGAACGAGAAGAACCAATTGAGGCCCAGCGTAATACCCACCCCAACTTCTCGGTGGGAGTCCGGCAGAATTTCAGGAACGATAAGCCAGGGGATGGGACCAGGGCCAAAGGAGAAGCTGGAAAGTGGGATATTATCAGAAAGTGGAATATTATCAGAAAGTGGAATATCATCAGAAAGTGGAATATCATCAGAAAGTGGAATATTATCAGAAAGTGGAATATTATCAGAAAGTGGAATATCATCAGAAAGTGGAATATCATCAGAAAGTGGAATATCATCAGAAAGTGGAATATCATCAGAAAGTGGAATATCATCAGAAAGTGGAATATCATCAGAAAGTGGAATATCATCAGAAAGTGGAATATTATCAGAAAGTGGAATATTGTCGAGAGAGGCGGATATGTGGACGGGACCAGGGCCAAAGGAGTAGCTAGAAAGTGGAGTATTATCAGAAAGTGGAATATTGTCGAGTGAGGCGGATAAGTGCACTTGGCAGAAAAGGTAATAACAACGTATACCAATGACTGGGACGAACGTCACGTCAACAAGTAATCGGGGGGTGGAGAATTTTAGCATGTACTTTAACGACCAACGAGTATGAGCTCATAGTTGTACAACCTGTGCTTAGCCAAAGTAGCTTTCTACTTCACACACAGAGACAACAAGGAACGCTCACAGGCCCACACGATGAGACAAAGATATCGAGATGCCAAAGAGTTGAGAAAAGGAGAAGAAACGACACAAAGGATGGGGATATCCAAGACAACCTGACGATGCAGGAGAAGATTAAAGAACGGGGCGGTTGAAGGTAGATGATCTGTGACTAGCGGAAACTTACAAGGTTACAGCGAAGAGGATGCACACCACAGACGGCCAAGACCAGTCCATCGATACGCACACCACAAACATTACCAGACTCAGGCCCATGCCGCCGAAGCCCACCATCAACAGCACCTTACGCCCTGCCGGATGTTGTGAAAAGGTGAATGGGCCAGAGTTGGTTTAAAAAGGCTAACCACTAATACACGAGAAGTATGCTGGAGATATGTGGTCTGATAGACGACCACACAGGTTGTTGCGACCACAAGAGCCACGGGCCGAACTGGGGCGAACTATAACTACACATATTATATTAAACGCGTTCAAAGGCAGATGCATGATCACGTGAATTTGTACACACAATATATAGCCTCCACGGACAGGTAACTTTGACCCCAGGTGGTTGAGAACGCCATACAATATAATAGTACATTTGGATTCCATACAATAGTACACATATGAACTACATATAATAGTACATTTATATTCCATATAATAATGCTCATATGAATTGCATATAACAGTCCATTTGGATTCCATATTATAATACACATATGAACTACATATAATAATACGAAAGAATGTCCTGGGGAGATACTCTTGGCATGCACAGCTTTGCTAGTATACTCTATCATCCGTCATGAGAGAGACGGATTATGAAGCCACAACCAATGACGACCTACATGCCAAGGTATGATACACGCACCACACCGCACGCTCCCCGTGCCGCTATTCCGCTCCAAACCCACCCCATGAACGAGTTGAAGTTCGGAACAAATAATACAATGACACACAAACACGCCGTACCTACCTGCACGCTCGATTATAAATGAGGAAGGGAAGGTGGTGACCCACAGAACGGCTGCCACTAACAGCGTCGCCATCTGTGTGTTCTCCACCCCCGCATCCTGGAAGATGCTGATGAGTATATGTGATTCGAGTTTGTTAGTTGGGTGGGCATCGAAGAATGTATACAGAGATATGTGCGTATTCTGAGCATATGTCAATCGAGTTGAAGTGTATCCGATGGCACAGGTTGGTATATCTGTATTGGTGATTATTGTCTACACATCTCTCCGAGACCATATACAATTTCACAGTCATACAGACACAACTATAGCCACCAATACTCGCATATACCTACTGGAGTAGAACATGATGGCGTTAATACCGCACAATTGCTGGCTGATGGAGATGATCAGACAATGCACTATACGTTGACGAAGCAAGGGAGAGAACAAAGTGCTCAAAGCCTTCCACGTTGACAGTGTCCCTTCCTGTAGAGGGATGAAGATATTCTTATCAGTCTATATATGTAAATATGATTTCATATATGTTAATATATATGTATATATACATATATATATATATATATATATGTTACATATATATTTATATATTTATGTATATATATATGATATATATATACATTTATATATATATATATATATATATATATATATATATTAAATATATATATATATGTGTGTGTGTGTGTGTGTGGTG